CTTAATTCTAATTCCATATATGTGCAAAGTGCACTGGTGACATGAATTCAAATCCCATTGCCATTAGTCAAATTAAAACAGCAAGAGATTGAAAAGTTGGGCAGAGTCAAACAGTTTAATCCTTTTATTCTACGCTTCATTCACCATGCAGTTTACCCCAGACAACTGGCATCTGGGTGTCTCCCATCTGGAAACTAGAATAAAGGACTTCATGCTACAACCCATTAGGTGGAATAAGAGAATAGAACAAGGTAGGCATGTCTGAGGCTAATCTCATAACAGGCAATATTTTCTTGCACACAGGAAAGTTACTGTTTTACAAAGTGAGCCTGACCCCATAAAGGTTATCCCAGAAAGTCACATCAGGCAATAGAAGATATCACAGATGAGAAGTAGCTGGGTATTTACATGGACCCTCCACCCTATCATATTCAAAAGGCATTCCTTTCATCCTGAAGTGGTAACTGTCAGTCTTGACTTCTGTGGCACAGAGAAAACTAACTATTTAAGACTCAATGTCCACATGCCTCTAAACCTCAGTTTTCAGACCTGGTTCTGATTCAAATTGAGTTCAATGGCCTGCAAGTCCTCCACTGTGTCTGGTACGCTCTGGATTTTGTTTCTTGAGAGATCCACCACATCTAGGTGACGAAGACTGCATAGTTGTGTGGGCACAGTCCGAAGCTGGTTTCCAGAAAGGCTCAGGGTCTTGAGAGCCGAGAGTTGTCCAAAGGCAGCAGGCAGCTGTGTCAGGTGGTTGCCATTCAGATGCAATGTTTCAAGTTTTTTCAGCTTACACAGCTCTTCAGGTAGTGCAGCTAGCAATAAAATGATGAAGAAATTAGTCTACTCAGAGGAGCAACTGAGTTTTCATAGCCATTAAAAGCTAAGTCTTCTCCTGAGTGGAATATGCAACCCTATTCTGATAGAGGAATTTTGTTTTGGAAAATCCTTTCACAAACCATTAGGCTAAATTCATTCTACAGCATTTAAATTAAGTTTGAGTTTTTTTCATCCCATCCTAGTAAGGCAAAAAAACTTCTACATTTCACCATTGCACGAACAGAAAAATTTTGAGACAGGAAGAACAACATCCCTAATAAACTTAAAGGGAAATTGTAGGTAGACAGAATATAAATAGAGTTGGAATTTAGCCAAGACATTAGGTATAACACTTTATTTCCATAAAAGATGCTATGGCTTTGTTAATGACCACAGAAAATCAAAAGTTTAGTTTTTATCATTCACCCAAAAGACGACACCTAGTAGCACAGTGCCCCTTACTTCTAGTTGCTAGCTTTGCAGATCTTCAGGGCACTGGCCCAAGAGGAATGACACCTACTGAATCACCAACACTGTTTTCTGAAGGACACAGTCTTCAGAGGTTTTCTATGCAAATACTAAGCTATCTGACTCCGCTCAGCTTTTAGATCAGACAGGTTCAAAGCAAGCATTTAAGAGGATCTTAGTACTTACACATTATTGCAAGGGTGAAAATATAACAAAATTGTTAACTAGTTTTGAACAAATCCTAATCATGAATTCCAAGAGATTTTAGTGTAAGAAACCAGTGCTTTCCTTTGCATTTTGTAAAAAAAACAAGTTATCACAATGCCAGACCAACAAAGAACTGTGATTCATTAGCATTTTAGAAATCTGTGACAATATTAAAAGCTCATACTCAATTTGTTGTTGTTTAAAGCAAGACTCTTCAGAATAGAAAACTTTCCCATCAGTGGTGGCAAGATCTCAATTTTGTTGTTTGACAAATCTATTGTCCTTAAGTTGCCAGCTAGCTTCTGCAGGTCTTCAGGAAACTGGGGGGATGGAGAGGGCGAGAGTAGATATAGCATTAGAACAGCTGGTGTAACTTCATAATAGATTATATAATTTCATTTACCTTTTTTTCGGTTATTTACACCTAAATTCAAGTTTATAAGCAAAACCAATATATGAAATTAATTTTTTTCTATGGCACCTAAATGCAAAGGACATTTTACAGACTTCTAGTAAAATGGATTCCTAGTCTATAATTCAATCTAAATAAACAGGATACAAATAAAGAAAAAGAGGGTGAATACAGGAATACAAAATACTGTTTACAAAACTTTTCATTTTTATGTTCTCATGTCTATTTTTTACATAACCTATTCCTACTGGATTATTTCCCCCCGCTTTAAGCATGATGGAAGCTAAATAAAACCCGTTCTTTCTCCAGTTCTGTTTTACTTTACATCTGCTATATATATGAGAGAGTCTGTCTGTTCCAGAACTCCTCCTAAATGGTAAGAGCTGTGACCACCAAATTCAGTATACAGCTTCTTCTCATCACAATTTAAAGCAAGGTAAGGGTTTGATATCCCAAGAAAATGGGATTGCTTCTCAGAAAACCCACAGAAGAGACACAGAATCACCAGCAGATGAAAGTGGCTGGCTGGGGGCATACATACACACCCTATCCAGGATTGCCTCAGCTTGGAGCTTCCTACCCCCTAAGCACACTTTAAGGAGGTGGAGGAGGGGGGGACTAAAGCATCCCCAGTCTCTGATTTGCATGGGAACATTGCTGGCTGTTCCTCTTCATCAAGGAGTGAGGGGAAAGTGCAGAGCTTGCTGCATTCCTCACTCAAGCTGTGGAGTGCAGGAGGCAGATATCAGGCAAATCGTCTATAAACTGTAGATTATAAAAGCCATCTCCTTCCTTCTTGCTGTAATACCTGTCTGCTCTTTGGAATTCATATTTATTCAAACCCCTTGCCATCATAAAGTACATGTTACATTGCTCACTTGTGGATTTTTTTTTTAATCATTTACTCGCACAGTCACCCACAGCACTAAATACCTGCAACTATTCTCTAGTCAAGGGGTAGTCATTGGGCAGACCACAAGTCAAATCTGGACCAGATACTTTTGGAACGTATCCCAAAATCTTTATTATTTTCTGTAGAGTCTGGACCCTGACCAAGAAATCTGAACCTGTTCTAATCTGTAAGCTACTCATGTTTTAGCTTTTCCATGCAATGTATACCAGTAATTTATCATATTCCCCCAAATACATTATCAGAAAAGAAGATTAAATATAAGAGATAGAGATATTTTACTCCCCATATCCACTAAGTAGCATGGCACAGTGCTAATTTGGACATCATACAAACAGGAGCTAGATCCAAGAGTGATTGTTCCAGTCTGATTTGGATTTTTCTGGGACTTGACCAAACAAAATCAAGTCAATCTCAGGTAACGTGTTAAAACTGTAGGCACTTATGCACATGCTTTACTTTTGTCACCTGAGCAGTTCCAAGCAAAAGGATAATGCACATGACTAAGGTTAGGCATAATGAATAAATACATGAACGACTGGGACCAAAAAGTATTTCACAAATTTGAGGAGTATCTTGCATAAATACACACAGTTACAAAACTTATTTCATACTCTCCAGGTAAGATTTTCTAATGAGAGATACCTTTTTTGTTACACAAACTTTTAAGAGTCCTGGATTTAATACATTTGTTTTAAATATAAAACCTGAAATTGTAAAGAGATAATTTTTCAGGTAAGTGGAGCATTGCTGATTGCTAAATCAAAGAGCAAAGGTACATGCAAGTGTTTTTCTTAAAAAAGGGATAGTGAGGTGCCTGGAGCATTATTTGTACAGCTCTAGTAATGCTCGTGGCACTTTACAAAACAGGAAAATAGAGACCCTGCCTAAGACAATTAGTTATATGCACATGCAGCCAAACAGTTCTACTACCTCAGAGAGTCCTTTTCCAGTTAGCTGGAATACGCCTGTTTTCTGAGCTGTCTCCAGGTGAGCTTTTAAGGCACTATTTCCCATTCTGCAGGTCTTGTGTCAAGTACAAAGATTTTGTTTAAGGCACAAACCCAGTTCAGTCTTTTTCAATCACGCTACAATGGACTCAATTTTCCTGTTAAAAGCAAAATGTACAAAGTCATTTTGTGCATAAGAGTTTTCTTCCATTATGGCTAATCTAGACATGTTGAATGTTATGCTTAATGTGTCAGGCTATGTTTCTTATCCTTAGTTAATAAAAATGTCTTAATAAAATTAACCCAATTTATCATATTAAGAGGACTTTATTTATAGTTCTATGAATGCTAAATTAATGGTATGGAAGTTGAAAAGCATGCAACAGTGGAAGGCAAGATCAAAGTGTCAGGCTAAGGCCATGTCCACAATGCAAACTTTGGTCAAAACAAGCTATAATGGGGTAAAACCATAGCAATTCGTATATCTTTCATGTGTGTACATCCATGTTTGTTTGCATTGGTGTTTCACAAAGCGTTTCCTGTAAGCTGAGCACTTGGGCGGCCACTCAGAAGAAATTCAAATGCCAGTTATTGGCATACCGCCCATAGATGGCAGCATATGTTTCTACTGGTGGTGTGCAACCACACATGCCTCTGTACAAATAAAATTTATTCCACTTATGGATGAAAAAATTAGAGGGAACATTGTTCACAGGCTCCATATGCTAGAGTTGGAGAGTTAGGTTGACATGGTTACAGTACTTATGGATGTGAAAAATCTACATCCATGAGTGCTACAACTATGCCAACCTACTGGTAACCCAGCTAGGTCAGTGGAACAATATGCACAGCTAGTAACCATAGCTCAGAACTACTGGTAACCCATCTAGGTCAGTGGAACAATATGCACAGCTAGTAACCATAGCTCAGAGAGGTGAAGTGCCTACAAAGAAGAAAATCCCCTTTCTGGAACTGTAGTGTGTAGTGCACTAAGGGCTATTGCAACATACCTGGCACTGTGGCCATGTCCTTGTAGTGCGCACAAACTGAAAACAGTCTTAGATCCCTCAGCCTTTGTAGAGGATTTCAAATAATTGGGTTACATAAATGCAGCCTTTAAAAGGTTTACACAATTCAGCCTTTAAAAGGGAGAGCATCAAGTTTAAACCAATGGAATAACAGCCCCAGTGGTTTTTAAACTACAGGTTGTGACCCAGTACTAGGTCGCACAATGTCAGGTGCTGAGTTTCATTGCTGTGGGGCCATTGGTGGTGCTAGGGCAGGCTTCCTGCCTGTCCTGGTACTGCAGACTGTTAGAACCTGCAAAAGCAACAAGGAGTCCTGTAGCACCGTATAGACTAACAGATGTCTAGGAGCATAAGCTTTTGTGGGCAAAGACCCACTTTGTCAGATGCTGTTAGAACCTGCTGCTTCTGGGGTGCAGCATGGTCCCCATGCCTGACGAGGCAGAAAGGCTGCCCTAGCACCCTTACTGCACCACTGACTGGAAGCCCCTCCAGGTGAGCCCCTTCTGTCCCAGTGCTCTCCCCCTGAAGCTCTGATGCTCAGCCCCACCCCGGAGCCCACAGCTGGTCAAATTATGTTGGATCGCGGGGCATCAACAATGTCCTTCCACTGGGTCGCGAGAACCCAAGTTTGAACCCCCCGCTCTAGGGTCGGGGGGCAGGGCGGGAGAGACAAAAGGCGGCAAGTTAGGCCAGTGACCGCCCCGCCGCGGAGCCCTAGCAGCGCCCCGGCCCCTCCCACCA